TGTATCTGAGAACCTCACCTGCTTCTTTTTAAATCCTAGCTTCATTTTTTACAAGAGCTTCCTTCGTTAATTTGGTTATCTAAAAAAAAAAAGGCTCCTAAAATGGCGATTGTGTATTCTCCGTAACAACCTCCCTAATCTTTTTGCAAACAACAGTGATAAAAGTTCAAAGGGAGGAACAGCCGGCCAGCAGTTTCTTATTAATTAGTTTCATTTCTCTGAAGAGTTTACAAGACTTTCCTCTTATCAACTTTGCTAATATATACTTTTGATATAGAGAAGTCTAAAATGGCGCTGAATATGCCGAGCTGCTTCGTTACAATGCTTTTTTTTTTTCTGAAACGAAAAATTCTAAAGAGCTAACAAAGGGGTGATTTAATACCTTTTTTTTCGTAAGCTGCATAGCGGGCCAGTAGAGTTTGATTAATTGCTTGAAGATAAGACTTATAATGGCATCAAAACAATAAGTCCGAAGGAAAAGAACGAGAAGCTCAGAGGGCCCAACTGATGACCATGATTGATGACCTGGTGGAGAAGAACAAAGGTGCTCCTTACTACAAGAAAACATGATGAAGTCGGACCAAGAGACGCTGAAGACAAAACTTGCCTGGTTTTGTTCCCTTTTCTGATGGACACAAGAAAGTCTAATTGAGACAACTCCGCAAAAGTTCACAACTTCCTTTTCCCCTTTTTATTTTTTGGTCACCACCAAAGAACCCGCGCCTGAGATTTATGGTTGAGTCTCCCTGAGCCAATTCCTTCCCCCGAGAACTCAGTTTCTACCATCGGATGAAAGGACTTCCTTAAAATCCTGTCATTCCCCTCCCCCCGCCCCAATATCAATTGGCTTCACAGCTGAATTCTCTATCAATCTGGACGCATGTCTCTTTGGAAGCACACATTATTTGGGGCTTCCCCGTCTGTCAATCCAGGCTGAGAAATCACCAGAAACGTTAAGACTTCATTGATACAAATTCTAACCCCCAATTTTGAAAATGTCTCCCTTTTGCTCCCGCAGGGACCAAAGAGCATCAAGGCTGAATAGCCTTGATGTTCTTTCTCACCCGTCCTGTTTTCCTGGGATGAATCCAGGTTTTTTTTAATGGCTTCTCCAATTTTCCGCAAGAGGACTTTCTCTGGAGTCCTCCACATNTTCCATTCTTGCTTGTGCCTTTTGCAGCTGAAGTGAGTTCCTGTCCTTCGGCTGACTCTGCTTCGCTTTTCATTCAGAAATCGGTGGTTTGTGCAGTTCAACCTGTCGAGAAATGGCTGGAAGTGCCGGAGGTAAAATCTTGGCTCCTGGGAAGGTGGGGTGGGGGCTGCTGCCCTGGGTGGAGGGTCAGGCTAGGATGACCTTAGCCAGGGAAATTCAGGTGGTTCAAATGAGCCCAGGGAGTCCTCGGCTGATGACCGGAATGGATCCCAAAACCTAGGTTGTTAAGTGAGACATTGAAATGAGTTTGGCCCCACCGCCATTAAGCAAATCAATTCCGTTGTTAAGTCAGTCAATAAGTGAATTCAGCTTCCCCACAGACTGGTTTTGTCAGAAGGTCTCCAAGGGGACCACGTGACACAAACACACCTTGGGAGGCTGCGACCCCTACGCTATTGCAGACAAACGGTTGTCCAGTCTCTTCTTGAAAGCCTCTGCTTGTTCTCCTTGGGGACCCAGGCCTCTCCCCTCCCTTCCCTCTGCCAATCCTGGTGGGCAAAACCGGCAACGGGAAAAGCGCGACGGGAAACACAATCCCGGGAAAACAAGACTTTGAATCCAAGATGGCTTTTGGTTCCATCACCAAAAATTTGCAAAAGGGGGGAGACCCAGCTGAATGGCAGGAAGGTGGTGGTCGTGGATATTCCTGGATTTCTCGATACCAGGCGTCCCAAGTGAGAAACGGCCAACGAAGTGAGCAGGTGCGTGAAGTTTTGCTCCCAGGGTCCCCATGTCATTCTGCAGGTGATTCGTCCTGCCCATTTCACCAAAGAGGAGGAGGACGTGGCTTGCTTGATTAAGGAGATCTTCAGCCTGAAGGCCAAGAATTACATGATCCTCTTGTTCACCCGGAAAGAGGACCTGAAAGATACGACTCTGGAGAAATTCATCGCCAACAGAAACTCCACGCTTAAGGATCAGGTGTCCAGGTGTGGGTACCGCTACCTGGCTTTTAACAACAAGTCCAAAGGGACTTCCTGGGCGGGACCTTGCTGATGGTGGCAGCTTAATAGAGCTGCTCCCGGGTTTCTGGTTGCGTTATCTGCCTAGACATCTGACAGATACCTCACTCTTCAGGCAAGAAGGGGGAGAGAGAGATCCAGCTGGCAAGTGCTTTCTTTTGAACTTTGCAGCTTTTTTGTCTGCGAAGAGAAGGGGGGCCAGCCGAGGCTGAATCATCATCTCCGTGCCGGAAATCTCTAGCTGTTTTTTCACAGCTCAAAGTAAAATCCCTCCACTTAGAACAATATTTGAACTATCTATCTGATTTTAATACAAGCAGAGTCCGTATCTGAGAACCTCATCTGCTTCTTTTTAAATCCTAGCTTCATTTTTTACAAGAGCTTCCTTCGTTAATTTGGTTATCTAAAAAAAAAAAGGCTCCTAAAATGGCGATTGTGTATTCTCCGTAACAACGCCACCTCCCTAATCTTTTTGCAAAGAACAGCGATAAAACTTCAAAGGGAAGGAACAGCCGGCCAGCAGCTTCTTATTAATTAGTTTCATTTCTCTGAAGATTCTACAAGACTTTCCTCTTATCAACTTTGCTAATATATATTTCTGATATAGAGAAGTCTAAAATGGCACTGAATATGCTGAGGTGCTTCGTTACAATGCTTTTTTTTTTCCCCTGAAACCTTCTGAAAAA